TATCTCTAGAAATTCTTAATACACAGTGAAATATCTTGATGACATCTAGACTTGTCATATAGTTCAATTACTATACAACACTTCTGCCTTTAATAATGTAATGGAATAGTAGAACAAATTATATGATTAAAATTCATATATTTTCTTGTTTGATATTCAAACTACAGTAATAGCTCCATCATCTAAATTTCTAGCAGCAAAGGTCACAGAACATGAGTATTATACCTCAGTCTACACTAACTGCAACTGACTAAAGTAAAATCATATAATACAGGAGTAATCCAGATTCTTGGAATTCCAGTGAAATTACACAAATAAAGTTAGCACAACAACTCTAGATGCAATTAACAAAAATAAAATAAGTTTGTGTGTTTTATAGAACACAAATATGCAAAAACTAAATTCAGCCTTGAACTATTCAGTCATGAGCAGTGCATCCATAATTATGGATTGAAGGTTTTTACTCCCTAGATAACAATGTAGCTAAACCTGATTAACATCCATCCCTAAATTCCTTAAAACAAATCCAATCTGAGAGTAATTTTCCATATACGGTCTTCAGTTCTCATAGAAATAATATGCTAAATTTGAAGTGAATTGGATAAATGTTTTAGAGTTATAGAAGCTAAAATTTCAGAAGGTTTCTCACTTTTTGAAACCATTCCCCCCTTTTTTTTAAAAAAAAATGGCATTGCTGAGAAACCTGACTGTCTGATTCATCTATCTTCAATGGGAATTAATGTGCGAGAATTTTTGAGTGGCTGGTATTTCATTCTGGAGCTATTTCCTATGAACCTTTGAACCTTCTAATGTCTGTAAACATTCATGTGGACTTCCTATGGTATCCAGCCTTAACAACTTCTTCAATACCTATCTCTATAGATTTCACTGCCTTCTTCAGAGAGTTTTTACAATGCAGTAAGGGCTGGTCTAAACCCAGTTTTGTATAGTAAAATCTGTGTAACTACCCAGCATGGTGGTGACAGCTGAACCAGTCTAAGAGAGCTTATTTGTGTATATTTCATTTCAGTGATAGAACTTAAATAAGCTATGGTGATGTCATTAAAATGGAGGCCACACTCGGGAATTACAAAAATTAACTGTTTTGACTACAAAAACTGTGTTGAATTGCCACTTCCCTACTCCTTAGAAGCAGAATAAAATGTTCTCAGAAGATTCCCAAGGCCTGCCAGCTCCAGAGGGAAGAGCAAGTGAACGTTTGGAATTCGGCTTTTAACTACATGAAAGTATAATACAGGCAGTCCCCAGGTTACGTACAAGATAGGGACTGTAGGTTTGTTCTTAAGTTGAATTTGTATGTAAGTCGGAACTGGTACATATTGTAGGGGATACTCTAGCCAAACATTTCTCCAGAGCTCAGTTTTATTCTCCCACACCTCACTTCCCTCAGTCCTTTATTCTCAAGCTGAGGTGTCTGCTGAGAAAAGCTGCTCCGCGTCTCCTTGGTTTGCTGCGGGGGGGCGCTAGCTTCGCGTCTCCCTGGTCTGCTAGGGGGAAGCAGCTAGTGCGGGGTTGCCTCACCCCATTTGTAAGTAGGGATCCGATGTAAGTCGGATCCATTTAACCCGGGGACTGCCTGTACATGATTGTTACATAGGCAGCCTTTCTCTCCCTTATTTTAATATTTGTTGTTATAGAGGTGACGAAGGGAGAATTTTCTGTAAATTTGTGTGTGTAAAATTTTGTGTTTTCCTTTGTGTGCCCCAGTTTCCTTGGCATTTTGCATCATTACCTGAGGGGGGAGACCTTTTTGCTCTAAGAGACATAGGTATGAATGACATCTAGCTATCTAAGCCTGAAGTGAAGGGCAGGCCCCATATCAGTGGAGAATCTGAGACAATAATGGCACATTCAAATCACTAGAAAATTGAAATCAGCAGCCAATAATCCAGAGGAAGATGCATTTTCCCACCTCACAGTAGAGAAGCTGAGCAAAGTTCCCCAACTCAGAAACAAACTACTGGGAAGGTGGACATGGGGACGAGAACTGACTACTGCAAAGAGTCTGGGCTCTCACCTCAGAAGGGATCAAGAAGGCCAGAAAGGGGGAGAGAGAGTTGAAAAATGGGGTTCAATTGGCTGGCCTACAGGCTAACCAAAATGGTCTATACATTAACCTTCAGTTCCCTATACTAACCTATGGATTTCCTACGCTGTGTTCCCATTGACTAACAAACCTAATTGTTTAACAACACTGTTTGTGTCCCTGCAAATGCTTGGTGAGATGCATAGCCCCTGAAGAGAGTACACTAACAGAAGTCCATGTGAATTGTACTCACTGAATAGAGCTCACGATGTGAAACAGGAATGCTGGAACCATGGTGAGGCCACATGGCCTACCCCATGCAGGAAGAGGGAAACCCTTTGGGGATCTGAGCACACTAAAAGGGCTCTGCGTACAGAATTTCTAAACCTAGAGGTATAACACCAATCTGGTGGATTCATAGAACTTGTGTATTGCCAAGCAGCAACCAAGTATCCTGAGCAGAATTAACCAACTACAGACATAATGGGATTTTATTGGATTGATTTCCAATAAACAATATTACCTAACCAACCCATCTTGTCTCTAACGTCTTGGGACCAATACGACTATAACATATCAATCTAGAGCATCATATTTATGACAAGTCTCAGAGGGGACGCTGTGTTGGTCTGCATCTGTAAAAACAATGAGGAGTCATGTGGTACCTTAAAGACTAACAGATTTGGGCATAATACAATATGCCACCTTCAACTCCTGCCCTCGCCTTTGGATTTATATTCCAATTTTCCACTAAAACATCTAAGAATTTTCATTCTCATACTCCATATTTGCCATTGACTTTGTTTCAAGGAGGCATTCACATCAAAGATACAGTATACTTCTGATGATTATTATATTTTATTCAGATTGTTTGCAGCATTGTTGTAGCCATATGGGTTTTAGGATTTGAGAGCGACAAGGTAGGTGAGGGAATATCTTTATTGGACCAACTTTTACTGCTGGAAAGTACAAGCTTTCGGGCTTCACAGAGATCTTCTTCAAGTCTGGAAAAGGAAATCAGAACAGCTGAGCTAAATAAAGGTTCAGACAGACTGCTAAGGAAAGGGGGTAACATTGTGGGAGACCATTTAAAATGAAGTGGGCAATTAAAAGTTATCAGGCAATGTGATATTACAAATTATTATGAGCCATAAATCCAGTATACTTACTGAATTAATGTTCTTAGTATGTAGCACAGTAATGAATTTAAGTTCTAAGGCTTGCCCTTTGAAGATTCTGTGCAACTGGTTTGGCTATAGATTATACAGCATTTTTGTCTCATCACTTTTCTGCATAAGCTCATTTGAAAACATAGTGATTTCCTAGTTTCACTCACATAATTGTTGTTGGGATATTTGATGTACTAGATGAGGTACACTATATGTTGTGATAGCCATGTATTGGGCCCAAGAATCTCAAAATTTTTGGATCACCGTAGCAAAGAGAGAGATCTGTTCAAGATTAGAGGAATGTGTAGCACTTTAGAGACACACAAGATGACTTGGTCCCTGCCCCAATCTAACACAGTGATGTCAAAGAGACTACTTATGTGCTTTTAAATATGTGTACTTGCAGGATCCAGGACACTTTAAAAACAAATCTGACTTCACTTCTATGATCAGACACACATAAATCAAGGTTATAACCAGGCAAATCAAGGCACGTTACATCACCAAAGCTCTCTTTCAGTTTCCAATACATTTTCTGAAGAGCACTGGTAAGGTTCATTTTTCTCTGAATTCAGGATAATACCATACTACTGATTTTTGTTGATACGGTCCTGATTAAATAGCCATATTATGCTGTTCACATGTATGAAAACGCAATCAAAACTGCCAACTGACAAAGCAAAAATAGGGAATTTATTCACAAACCTTTAGGAAAAAGTTCTTTGAAATGTTCCCACTTCACAAACAAAACTGAGATTCATATATTGTGTCAGGAATCTGTAACAACTTTCCTCTACACAGACGTGCGTTTGTCTTTCTATAGGAAGTTTTGTCTTCACATTTTATACCATTTCAATTTTTCAGACTACAGTTATACACAAAACTTGTTTTAAATTCAGTAAAGATATATTTGATGTTGAGAGACTGATGTTCTTATATGGTTAAAACATCAAATGCTGATGAAGTCAATCTCCGAGAGATATTCAGTTTTGATAGAGCCACTTCTAAATGAAATCGATCATTAACTGAAATTACCCTAGTCATCAAACCTGATATCCTGGTTCTGAGAGACTGCCTGAAATGTTTCTGCTGGTTCTGCAGAAGTTGGGTTTTTGTTCCAAATCTCGATACACTTGAACCTCTTTAATCTGGCAACCTTGGGAAATAATCTATGCAAAATTATGGAATTTTTCTGGACCATGGGTGTCCATGTTTACTTTTTGTTTTGAAGGTGAAAATAAAAACATTTTGCTAAGTACTGAATTTGTATTTCACATGTAACTCAGACAGCAATACATATGAGGTCAGGAAGGGGGGGAGGGTACAGGAGTGCATTGAGAGTGGGAGGTGGGATGTCTGAGGGGGATGGGAGTACAGGGTGTAGGTGTGAGGAAGATGGAGATGGAGCGCTTACATACAATTGTTGCTAGCAGGGTTCTAGAATGGTTTCTCCAGTCAGAATGGACAGTGTTTGTTTTTGACAAAGAACCCAGTGACAAACAACCCAAAGAAATAGTCTAAGATCATTTGGCTAGCATAAACCTTAGGGAAAATAACCCCAGTCCACAAGAGGCAGAAAAATTGTGTTAGAATTTTTCTAGTAATAGCCATATTTGAACTTCGTAATAGATCTTGTATAGTTACAATCTGAACATAGACAGGACCTAAAGTATACTGTACTCTCAAATCATTTAACTACCAAAAAACATAGTATGACTTTAGGATTTTATCAGTATTCCATAGTAGAATGAAAGAGAGATCTTTCTGAAATTAGTTTGACTTACTGAAAAGTGTTGTATCGGTTGGGTCCGGAGGAGGAAAGTTTTCAGTGAAGTTGACATTACACAAGTCAGAGCTGCAGCAGCAGAAGCGATACGTTCCATTCTGAATCAGGGAAGGGGTGGTTGTTACTATACACTCCGCATAGTAACACTCCTGAGGATCTCCTATATGAGACCAGCATCCTGAAAAAGGAAGGAAGTGAAATGGTACAAAAAATACATCAAAATTGATTTTGTACCAATGTTTACATTTTTATACACTAAATAAAATTAGTAAATATAATTAACTATATTTTCTCCTTAACCTCTCACTCTCATCAGGCTTTCCTTGTTCCATCATAAGCCTACTTTAGTTTCCTCCATTTTAAAATAAAAAACCTTGGCCTCCCTCTCTCAAAATTAATCACCTAACATCTTTTTCTACCTTCATCTCCAAAAGCCTCCTATGTGCCATCTACAGCTGTGCAATCTGGGGTTCCTTTTCTCCGGTTCCATCTTAGACACTACCCAATACAATTTGAGTTAGGTTTGTACTTGGATCCCAGTGATAGTAAATAAATTCAATGAACTATTACAGTGTGGTTATCTGATGTAATTATCAGTCTTTGCTGAAAACTGACTAAGAAATGCCACCCAAATTAAATAGCATTTCATCAGAGAACATGTAACTTTTACTGTAGCTATGAATCTCTCAGTATCTTTGATAACTAAGTAACAATTCTGAAGTGAGCAAAATTAGTTCTTTTGTGGAAGTATTTTTGAAAATTATAATTATGTAGAAGATTTATTATATTCATTTATAGTCTCTCATAATGAACACGTACAATGTAAAATGAAGATCTTTAATTAATGAGAAGTTTGCTCTTTATCAGGCATATTGCCAAGTTAGTAAATGTACCACAATGCACACAGGAAAGCAGATTTCCTCTTGACATGCAGGGTTGCAAGAAATTTTGTTCCTAACTTTCTTTTAAACTATGGATTGAAAAGGTACCTATCAGCCTTTCAAATCACCTTTTTTTCCAAAGGAACTTCTTGGTCTCACCTAATCAACTGCTATAGAGCAAGTTTCAGATAAGAAAAACAAAGATTTATCTAACTGTTTAACAAACAACAACAACAACAAAAAGGGCCATGCAACTTAAAAACTTCATAACAGGTTAATTCTACACAAAGGGTACATCTACACAGCAGGGCTAAAGTCGAATTAAGCTATGCAATTTCAGCTATGTCAACTGCGTAGTTGAAGTCAAAATAGCTTAACTCTGCTTTAGGTACGGTCTACACAGCAGGAAGTTGAAAGAAGAACACTCTTCCTTCAACTTCCCTTACTCCTTGTAGAACGAGGGTTACAAGAGTTCAAGTATGAAGATCTCCAGCTAGGGATGTTAAATTTAGATTAATTGGCTAATTGAATAGTCAATGCAATTTGCATCCACTATTCGATTAGTCGATAAGGGCGCCTCCACCTTTCAAGTGTAGCAACAGCCATAGGGCTGTTGCTATACTTCCAAGGGAAAGCGCTGCAGGAAGCATGGGACCAGCAGGGGACTCAAGCAATCCCCTGCTGGCCCCATGTTCCCTGCAGCATTTCAAAGCAGCAGTACCGCATAGAGCCCGAAGTCAGGTAGGGACTCTAAGTCCACACGGGGCTCAGCCTGGGGCTAGCTGATGGCCCTGGGCTGCACACGATGTTTCAAAGCGGCAACGCCGTGTGGAGCCCGGACCTGGCCCCAGGCTCCACGCAGCACTGTTGCTTTGAAGCAGCCCCTCCTGTTCCCCTACCTTGTTGCCTCTTTCTGATAGAGGCAGCAAGTGGGGGAAGCGAATAGTTGACTAGTGTGTGTTGACTACCCGATAAGCATTTGTTTATCGGATAGTCAACTCGTCGTTCACATCCCTACCTCTAGCTCGACATTATTTCGAAACAGAGGTTTGTAGTTTATTATGTTATTTCGGAATATGAGTTATTCTGAAATAACGCCACTGTGTAGATATACCCAAAAGGATTAGCAAAGCTAAACTGTTACCTTGTTTTACAAGATGTATGTCTCCTTCCCGTGTTTTTTCCCAAAGTCCATAGCAGGTGCTTCCTTTCATACACAAAATTGTGCCATTCTCCTGAGAGATTTGACTCTCACTGGCTCCACTGTCCTGTTGATTTGGGTCATTAAATGCACACAACCGCTCCTCATTCTGAGTAGCTTGAGAAGAAAAAGCAAGAAATCAATTTCTAGAGACTGTAAGCAATTGTCATAAAAATGTTTGTATATTTCATAATCAGTCCACGAGGTGTTGATCTCAAACTGGCATGAAATACTGTATGCAGCACACCTTCCTTTGAAAGCATTCTCGCCTGCCACCTTTGGAGTGCTGCCACTGGAAACTCCTGAGAAGTGGGATGGTCCACCAGCACCCAGACCATGGTCCTCTCTTCACTTTGCCCCCAGGTGCCCCCTTTGCTTTACCTCCCCCACAGGCCCCTGTGCCCACTGCTTGCTCCTTTCCACATTGGATTAGGGTGAAAAGAGGAGCAAGTGGTGGGTGGGGGGCTCTTAGGTTATGTCTACACTACAAGGTTATTGTGAAATAACTTATTTCAAAGAAATAACTTCCAAAATAACTATTTCGAAATACTGTGCTCACACTACAGGGAAGCCTTGAAATTAGTCCAAGGCAGGCTCCCTTAATGTGGATGTGCTACCTTGACTTAGAGCCCCAGGAAACACTGGGGAGTAATTACTCTGAATGACTCTGGGAAGTTATTTCAAAATAGCAGCAGCTGAGCATCCACACTAACCCTATTTCAAAATAGCAATTTTTAAAAAGGCATTATTCCTCATAAATTCAGGAGTTATTATTTCAAAATATTTTGCATGAGCTAAAAATAAAAAAAGAAGTCATATAAAAATGGAAACTTGGACAAATTCACACATACAGAATGGGAAGCGACTGTCTATGAAGGAGTACGGCAGAAAGGGATCTAGGGGTTATAGTGGACTACAAGCTAAACATGAGTCAACAGTGTGACAACTGGACTGGTTAGGCCTCAGTCAGAGTATTGTGTCCAGTTCTCGGCACTGCATTTCAAGAAAGATGTGGAGAAATTGGAAAGGGTCCAGAGAAGAGCAACAAGGATGATTAAAGGTCTAGAGAACATGACCTATGGAAAAAGACTGAAAGAACTGGGTTTGTTTACTTTAGAAAAGAGAAGATTGAGAGGGGACAGGACAGCAGTTTTCAGGTATCTAAAAGGGTGTCACAGGGAGGAGGGGAAAAAATTGTTCTTCCTGGCCTCTGAGGATAGGACAAGAAGCAACGGGCTTAAACTGCAGCAAGGGAAGTTTAGGTTGGATGTTAGGAAAAAGTTCCTAACTGTCAGGGTGGTTAAACACTGGAAAAAATTGCCTAGGGAGGTTGTGGAATCTCCATCTCTGGAGATATTTAAGAGCAGGTTAGATAAATGTCCATCAGGGATGGTCTAGACAGTACTTGGTCCTGCCATGAGGGCAGGGGACTTGACTTGACCTTTCGAGGTCCCTTCCAGTCCTAGTATTCTATAATTCTATGAAAATAACAAGTCTGTTATTTTGAAATAATTTCTAAGCAACGAGCTTGCTGTATGGACTCTCACTTTGTATTTTGAAATAACTTGGTATCGTAGACATGCCCTTGGGGGAGGAGGAAGAGAAGGAGCAAAAAGAGGCAGAGTGGAAAATGGGCCTCAAGGGATGAGGCCAAGCAGGAACACAGCCTTGGGCTTGAGCAGGAATAGAGTGCGGGAGGGTTTTGGGAGGAGGAGGCTGAGGCTAAGCAGGAGTGAGGCTGTGGTCCGGGTGCAGGGGTATCCTCCCATTTCTAGGGAGTTTCTGGGAGCTTCTTGTGCCCTGCCACTCCAAATGAAAGAGTTGCACACCACTTATGACATCATCCACTCCATTTTCTTTTTGTCTCTACTCTTTCATAAATCTATTCAATTGGGACATCTCTTTTCCCCTAGCATCATACCTATTGCAACCTCTGCACACCAGATTTAGAAAAGAGTGCCAAAAAGAGCATTAGCAACAGAGTGAAAATGCTACTATCTTGCTCAATGCTTTTGGGAAAACAAACACTGATAGGAACAGGAGCACATGCAGAATCCTCCCCTATAGGATTCACAAAAGGAAAATTTTAAAAATTCAGTAAAAAAGGATGAAGATGAAATCCTGTGAACCCGCGCCAAGTTACATCTTACTCTTAGATAATTATCATTAACCTTCTCTCAGTGTGAGAGTGTATATATGTTACACACATACACACATATATTCCCTTTAAGTTTTTTGACCATCTAGGATTTTAAAGGTTTTATTCACAAGATTTTTGTACTTCTTTCAATTTATACAATCATGACTTTCATAAAGACATAGTCCATGATACTTAGCCTACATCATACTTTCATCAATAACAGAACAAATATCTTTAAGAAGGACCTTAGCTGAAAGTCAGTACAGGCAGTCCCCGGGTTACGTACAAGATAGGGACTATAGGTTTGTTCTTAAGTTGAATTTGTATGTAAGTCGGAACTGGCTCCAGATTCAGCTGCTGCCACTGAAACTGACCAGGGGCTGACTACAGGAAGCCGGAGGCAGAGTTGCTCTGCCCCCAGCTTCCTGGAATCAGCCTGATCAGTTTCAACAGCTGCTGAATCTGGAGCCTGGGACAGAACAGCTGGGGCGCTGCCCGGTAGGTACCCACAGGACCAACCCGGCAGCACCCAAGCTGCTCTACCCGAGGCGTCCCGCAACAAAAGCCTGGTCTGCTGGGGGGGGGGGGAGGCGCGGCTCCGAGGCTTTGCTTCCCGTCTCCCTGCAGACCAGGCGGCGGCTTTGCTCGGGTGTCCCTGGTCTGCTGGGGGGGTCCAGCAGCTTTGCTGGATCCCCCCCCAGCAGACCAGGGAGACAGGGAGAAGCTTTTCTCGCCTCGGAGGACACGGGTGGCGACCCGCCGCCCGTGAGCTCTGGGGCGAGAAAAGCCCCGTTTGTAAGTGCGGATCCGACATAAGTCGGATCCGCGTAAGTTGGGGACTGCCTGTAAGTATAAAGTTTCTAAATTAGCTTCACTTTTCACAACACCAACATGCTTTTCTTTGAAAGCAATTTTGTGAAAAGGATACATTGAAGTTGAGGCATGGAAATGATAAGGCACGAATTCAAGCACACTAAACCTATGTCTATACTGCGGAGCTATTTCGGGATATCAGAGATATCCCGAAATAGCTATCCCATGTCTTAACAGCGCACCCGTTATTTTGAAATATAATAGGTTCACTATTCTGATGTCCCTGTAAACCTCATTCCACAAGGGTTAAGGGATGTTTCAGAATAGCGGATTATTTTGAAATTTGGCACTGTGTAGACATGAAGTTGACTCAAAATAAGCTATGCAATTTGAATAGCTCAAGTTGCATAGCTTATTTCAAGCTACAAGTACGGTGCTGATGCATCCTAAGATGACAACAGTATACACCAGTTGTCCCCAATGCGGTGCCCGCGGGCGCCATAGCGCCCACCGGGCCATTTATATGTGCCCGCGAAACAATCTGGGCTGGTCCCACCCCATGGGCATGTGGCATATGCCGGTGCCAGCCCCAGGCACACGGGCAGCCCCTGCGCGGGGTCGCGGCACATGCCGGTGGGCGGCCCCTGCGCGGGGTCATGGCACATGTCGGTGCCGGTCCCTGCGCGGGGTTGCGGCAGATGCCGGTGCCAGCCTAGGCACATGGGCGGCCCCTGCCCAGGTATAGGGAGTAAAGTGGGAGGGGAGCCAATCGCTTAAAGCTTCATGGGGTTGTTCAGTGCCTGGAGGTTGTGGTGGGGCAGCTGGCCCACATCTTGCTCACCCCTGGTATACACTATACTACATAGCAAAGAGAATTTGTACTACACGTCTATATGTAAACAGCTGCAATTCTCATTTCTTCATATCTAAGAAATGATTACTTGTAACATAATGCACTGTTTAATAAAGTGACATTTATGATAATGAACTCTGAACTTCAAAAAAATCATTAGATTACAATATTTATATTCTACAATTATTAAAATAATTTATTTTGCTCACCCACGAAGATATATGTCTTTATGAAGCAGTTGATGAATACTACAATAACATTCCTATATTATAACCAACCAAAAAGTGTTTACAGCTGTTTGGTAGCAATAAGACTAAATACATTTTCTAGAACTAGAAGTAGACTGCTCTTAATTATAAAACCATAAATTGGCACTAAGAGATCAAAAACTCACAATATTCCTAATCCTGAGAACCCCATATAAGTAGACTACTAAGCAAACTAGCCTATAAATAATACTCTGAGCAGCACTGTTATATATATACATATTACAGTAAATACAAAAACTACATTAAAGTTGCAATTTCAACAGTAAGATTGCAAAATCAAGCATTCAAAGGTTAGTAAATGTCTGTATTAGGGTTATCTGCGCAAATTTATATTAGCCCTATTCTGTGTATGTTATCATACATTCTTTAATTACAAAACAGCATACAACTATTTAAACCGAACCACTGCCTCATTCGGAGCTCCAGATGGATGATGCTCACTCTTGGGTTTTTTGCTTATTCTTCACTGTGTGACCCCAGATTTTATTTACTGTACCTTGAAGCTGACTATAAAGAATTGTCATTTTCTTATAGGCTGTCTTCTGGTACTCACTAGGGATGTTAGCATGTACTGTTTACATGATTAACTGATATTCCTGGGCTTTTTTGGTTAATCCTAATGGTTACATGCATACACACCCCGGGGGCGGGGAGAGGAGAGGAGACAGGTCCCCCATGGGGAGCCAGTTCTCATGGAACCGCTTCTCCCCACCCCCTGCCTCCCACAGAGGCAGAAGTGTGGGGAGGGTGCAGGCAGGAATCAGTATATGTGGGGAACCGCCTTCCCTCACCCGATGCTGCTGCCTCTGTATCAGAGGCAACATCACGGGGAGGAGGGGGCCAGCTCCCTACGAGCACCAACATCCGCTGAGTCATCTGCCCTCCAGTGCTGCTACCCCTGTATCAGAGGCAGCAGCAGGGAGGGGAGCAGGGCAGGCAGAACCTGGTACTCACCTGTCCCCCTGCGTGACTGCTAACAAATTCAGCAGTTACACAATTTACAAAAATAAACATTTGTTAACATCTCGGGTACTCATCATCA